CTAGTGTGCTAGTAAAAACTTCCTTAGTACTTGCTTTCTAAGGAAAATCTTCTTGTTTAGAAAAGGGAGAATAAAAAGAGATGTAGAATCTCCTTTCAAGGCTGGGACATTGTTTTCCCAGTGCTCCTTATTCTGTGTTGGGGAAAAGCAGATTTTCCTGCACCAGATGGTCTTCTGAATCATGTGTCATCTTCATCACAGTTACAGGTGCAAACTATCATGTGCTGAGTTCCCAGGTAGCTGCCAATTACATAAAAAAGCTTTGAGAGTTATTAACAAGTTTAATTAACAGTATGTGAACCATGTACTCGTCTTCTAATTATGAGCAGTTATCTGAAACCCTTATCTATATTACATACTAACAGCACCCAAAAGATCACACTATGTCAAAAGAGTTCTGATTTGCGAAAGAAAAAAACCTTTCCAAAGCTATAATTAAATATTGGTAAGATATGTTTCCATCCTCAGCTAACAACTAGTGCACTGTTCGTTTAACCAAAAAGGCACCCATTTAAATGACAGTCATACAGTTTACATGGATATGGGTCTAGTCAAATAGGTGCTGAACTGAACTCTTTTAAACTGTTTCTGCTGAACAAGCACAAGCAACTTAGCAGAAATACATAGGGATGAAGCCTAGTGATGTTATTTTTCCTTAATGGAAAAACCATTAATTACACCACTAAAATATTTTCTGGAATGTCTGACTAGTGTCTTTTATATCCTATTGTATTCTCTTATATAAGAGAATATTCTTTCCTTCTCCCCCCACCCCCCAAAAAAACCCACCTTTTACTGGGATTAGTAAAGTAAATCTGACGTGTATATTTCAAATTCCAAGAAATCTCTGAATAATATTCAATGGTATATTACCTCTCCTCCACTAACTTGTTTGTACTATATTAAAAGCAAATAGTAGAGTAACTAAAGAAAACACAGATAATAAAGAAATGCACTAGGATGCACTAGGATCCAAGCATTATATGATGTTTGCTTAATATTTTCCTTTCTTAGTCTTGGGGTTTTACTTTTTCAGGAAGAAATTAACAATTTGATTCCCTGATTAGTTTTTGTATACTTACTAATAATTCAGAAAGGAAAAATGCATCGGAATAATGTCTTTAATAAGATAGTTTAAGTTACAATGTATATATATATATATATATATATATATATATATAAAGAGATTTACTTAACTAAAAAGTAAAAATCACAACAATGATGCCCCATTCTTCTCTCAATTGGCACACACACACACTCATATATATGTATGCATATTTATATATATGGGTTTTTTTCAAATTTGTACCCAAAATGCTTTTATTATTTGTATATCACTTAAAATGACTTTTCAGTGTATGAAGATCTCACTGAAGTTAAAGTGGCCTGCATAAATTGATTTTACTTCTTGCTGTGGAGGTTCCTCTCTTGCCCAAGGAAGGTGCAGCCAGATTTCCACACCCAGTGTGTAACATATTTAAGATTTTCCCTACTATAGAGTTGTACCTCATCATTTGGTGGGTCAGAGGATGGAGATGATTACCCATTAGTCCATTTCACTGCGGTTGGTCAGATACAGCAGCTACCAGGAGAGTTTGCTAGTGCCTGTCAGGGCTGATATTCCCAGTCCTGCTGTGCCTATACTGAAATGGAGCATCTTTCTACCATCCACACATGTGCCACCTGGGGTATTCATAGGTGAGATCTCCAAAGAGTCCCACTGCCAGTATGGTTGAGACTTCTAGTATCCCCTGGAGCTCAGGAGTTCCTCAGGGTGGTGGCAATGCATTGGGCTTTTATCTCATTGATGGGTGAGGAGATGGAAATGATTCTCCATACAGTAGTTTTGGCATAGAGGGCAGAGACAAAGGGTGGTGCTTTCACAGTAACATCTATTAACATCTATTGTTGTGCGGATGGGCTCTTCCACTAATTAGAACTATTTCTGAGTGGGTAGTCTTCATTTTGATGTTTCAAAACACTTCCAGTATTTTATTTGTCCATGTATTGCAACTGGAAGAAAATAAATTATGTATAAATGTTCAATAAATATTTGGAAGTCTTTGTGTGCCAGATTAATCCAACTTGGTATAATACCTGCCCACCAGGGTTTTATTGTTTGGCAGTGGCAGATCTCACCTGCCTTTGCTGATGATACTGATCCTTCTGAAATAGAATATTTGCCACCATAAACACCAATATTATATTTTTTTCCTCCCCTCCTCCTGCACTTCTTTATGAGACAGAAATGGGGAGCCAAAACAAATAGAAAGGCTTTAACATTTGAATTTGTGATTATCTCTCCTCCTGAGAGAAATGTTTGATGTTATAGTCACAGAAGCAGTTTAAACATAGAGCAGGTTAAGGTGGGAGCAGTAACCCCACCAGAGATGAGTGAGACCTGTGGAGACCCAGTCATCTGAGGGAACAGATCTGTTATGGAAACCTGATTTGGTCAGAATATACAGAGTTCCCCAAATCCAATCATATCAGAGGAAAATAAAGTTTTGGACAAAAAGTGGAGAGAGGGAAGAGGACCGCAGAGTTTCTTGGCAGACAGGGAAGATCCACTCCAGAATTGTGCTTGTGGCTATCTGTCCAGTCAGCAGGAGAGTGAGAAAACACAGGCTTGAATGTTTATCTCTTGCACCCCAGAGAAATGCCCTGACTATAGACCTGTTGAAATGCTTTGAAATGTTTTAGTTTCCTAGTGATATAGAAATGGAATCTTTTTTTCATGGCAAAATATTTCATAGGTCAGACAGTTCACTCTTAGCTTAGCCCTGTTGTGCCTGTGTTTTATTCAAACTCTGTCCACCAAAATAATTAATCCAGAAATAATGCACATAGAAAAAGCCAGCAAGTGCTATCAGTAAAAAGGTAAGTAAGCTAACTGCCCTGTCAAATGATCACTTTATTCTTCTACTGAACAGTGTATAAATAAACCTTATCTGTATAACTCTTATGTACCATCTTTTGTCTGTGGATATGAAGCATTTTGTAAGTGGTAAACTCTAATCCAGGACGTCAATTAAGCACATGTTTAAACTGCTCTTTAGAAAAAGGTCTAACTGAACACTTGTTTAAGTATTCTTTTAATTAGGGGTTAATTAATGAAAGCACCAGAATTTCCTGTGAAGGGATATTTTTCAGATAGAGAAATGGAAGCCAGACAAGTTGTCTTGCCAAGGACTGCACAGAGAGTTACAGGCAGAGCAGAGATTTGAGCACCTATCACCCCTCTCCAGACAGTACTGTTTTCCCAAAGATCCGTGCAGTTTTACTTCAAGCACTTCTGCTGCATTCACGGGCTAACTGGGGAACCACAGGCTTTGAAGTCAGGAAATGTGGTAGACTACAAGGATACAAGCTGACAACTTTTGAAACATTCTCTTTATGGTTCAGGACATAGTGGAATAAATGAGAACCTGTGTACTATTTTATTGGAACCTTTTTCTTTGTAATTCTTAGACTCTGTAAATCACTTTAAAAAAATCACCAAAGGGGAAGAAAAAAAAAAAACAAAAAAGCCCTCCACTTTTCTGCAAATCAGACAAAGAAAAAGGGAGAAGCATTTTATTTGACAGAGAAGGTCAAGAATGTTTTCCACTTTCCTCTACAATTCTGGCAGCCAAGGGAAATCCAGATTCATGAACAAGGAGTATTGTTCTTATGGTCAATTAATCTATTGCTTTAATTCCCTTCAGAGTGATTGCTGTGATCCCCAGGTGTTTTTACCCAGAGCCTGTCTGCCTTAGTCTTCGGTGACAGTCTGACAAATTCCTTATGGACAAGTGCTCAGTTACGCACATGTTAATGCATCAGCCATACAGCCAAATATTGTTAGGTTAACTAAAAGCCTACGTATTAACTGCATGTAAAGGCTAATGCTATCCTTCTGTAAACAGAGCTGAGTCTCGTTGTAGCTGTGTATGAAGAAAATTATATCTTAAAATATTTTCTTAAAAATATTTAATTTCAAGCTTACTTCTGTCTTTGACAGGAGCAGCCTTTCTGAACTAAGCAGGGAATATTGCAGTAAATTTATAGGAACATTTATCAAAACCTAGCAACACCACACTACTAATCTGGGATTCAGCACTTTACCAAATGTGCTAGAAAGTAACAGCAGGAGATGTTCCCAATTTGTGAATGAATTCGGTGCTCAGAGAAGTGAATGAGCCAAGAACAGCCTGGGAAGAGGGAGGTGTGTGGTTCCTCACCTCTTCTCCACATGACAGTTCTTGCTCAAAATTGGACCCATGAATCTTGAAAGTTGGTTCCATAAATGAGTCACTTTCTGAGCAAAAATAACTTACATGAAATTAGAGTTTGAAATGGTTAGACTGAAAAGAACATTTGGTTTATTCAAATATATTTGATTAAATGGTATCCAGCTGAATATCTAGGACCTGAAAATTCCTGGATCTGCTTTCTTGCATGGTTTGAGTCATCCTTTTGATTCTGTCCTTTTCTTAGCATCAGAGACAGTAAACTAATCTTTTCTACTCACTGGCACATTTCCTGGTTCTGCTCTCTCCCAGCTGCTCACCAGGCTTCTTAGTTCACCTTTGTACTGCTGTAGCTTTTGTGCTGTAGCTTTTCCTCACATTTCCACATGCTTTCTCCCAAGTCCTCTTCTTTCAAACGACTGTCTCTTTTCTGCTGGTTTTATATTTTATCTTAAATACACTTTTTAATTTTTCCTTTATTGCAGGTTAACTTTTTTGTTTGTTTGCTTGCTTTTTTTGTTGTTGTCTAGTGTTGTGTTTTTCTTAAAAGAGATACACTGAATGGTTATAAATACTAACAACATTTTTTAAAAATTACCTTGCTAAAACAATCTCTCTTACCTGGGGCTTGCACAAGAGCTGTTTGAACACAGTCTCCAACAGGGCCAGGCTTTCTGATTTCATTTTTATCTTCATCTTGCGCTCTTTTTTTTTTTTTTTGGTTTTTGGTTTTTGTTTTTTGTTTTGGTTTTTTTTTTTTTTTGTTTCTTTCTTTCTACTCATTTTCACTTCAGCTGCAAAACAGATGAGAAGTTGTGGGTCTAATCCATACACATAAATTTGTAAAAAAAAAAGAAAGAAAAAGAGGGAGAATTTTTCTTGAAATTGTTTTTACTTATGCAGGTATTTAGCTGATATTGAACCACAGATAGTAACCACAGAATGACCACACGGTCTTACCTTTCTACCCAGGAGTCCTGATAATCAAACCCTCTCTTGCATTAACCAGTACAGTTCTGTTAAATCAAAGGCAATGCACTGATTTGCTACATCTGAAATATCTCCAGAAAACATTACCCTTCTCGGGTATGCAGCAGGCATATCACGTCAGCAAATCCATAAAATGAATTGCCACACAATAAAGCAGCATGACAATAGATCTATTTCTCACCTGTGCACTGAAGTGTGGTTCTTCTGCAGTGTAAATGAGGCCAACATTTTTGTCACTGACATGTAGAGAAAAGCTCATATGCTGACAGAAAAGCTCTTGTGATGACAGAGTAATGCAGGGCTGAGAAATCTATCAAGAAAAAGGCAAGGATAAGTTGTTCTGCTGAGCAGCAATATATACAGTCCACATGTATTTGTGCTGCTGGATCACCATCTCAACTACTTTCTTGGATTTGTATGTAGAGTATATTTAAATTCTTGTGCAGGAATCCAAAACTGTACCTTTAATTGTACCCATCTTAAGTCTGCTTCCCTGTCTGTTATAAACATCACAGGTTTTAATTCACTTAGCTTTGACCTTCTAATAGTTAATAATCTCTTTTAAGCTAATTGATCACATCTCCTCCAAGCATGATGGGAAAAGATTCATTCCAGCCAAAGCTTTCCATATATGTTTCCATGGTTTGCTACACAAGCTAGATAAGCTTGCACAGTGAAATTATAAATAGCTGCTACTGAGTGAGAACATTCTCACCATTTGTGGCTGTATCTTGTATAGCACAGTTCTTGTGTGGAGCCAAGCATTTTTGAATATAGAAAGGAAATATCACAAATCAGAGCCATGATATTTATGCAATCCACAGATGTCTAACAACACACTCTCATTGGTACAGACATATTAATATACAGGTACGTGAAAATCACAGGAATTGATGTTACAGTCCCTCTATTAAATATTTTGTTGACTTGTTTTCATTTTAATGAAATTGCTTCATTTTAATGAATGACTGCTGTTTATTCCTTCACTCTCCTAGTGAACAGAGGACAACCTAATTCCAGGCATTTCACAAATCCACTCAAATCCCATCTAAAAATTGAATTTACCTGTAACTCCATAAGTAGTAAAGAACATGATCTGAGATCAGTAAGTTGAAACTGATTGACATTACTTAATTTTTATTCTTTTCCTGAATCCAAACTTGTATTTCTACTTTTTAATGTAACTAATTAGATAGAATTTGTTATTTTTTTAAATTTCATACAGTATTTTCAGTACCCTATAAATATATGAGTCATAGTGAGGGGCATGCTTATTTGCAAAGAAAAAGTGTAAATCAGGTTTAAATACCAATGGTTTGTATGTACATGTATCAATTCCATTATAGTCTGAAGCTGGTTTTCAATGATCAGGTAGTTCTTTATTCTTACAGATCTGGCCAGGTAGATATAGCACTGGGAGTCCCATCTGTGACAGACTTTCTGTTTGGCATTTTTGGGGAGTACTGATGTGTCCAAGGGATTTGGGTGATCACATCAGGAATAACAAAGTGTAGAAGCACTGGACTCATGTACAGATCACCTTTGCCTTGGGATATTAAGAACCTTTTCCCATATTTCTGAAAATCTAGAAACCTGAACTGCTGAGTAGCTGTAAATCCAGGTTGTAAGATTACATTCTATGGAAAGAGGTAAAGTGCCACACATTGGGATGAAAAAGAATTATCTGAATGAATAAAGGTAGAGGTATCAGTTCACAGAGAAAGAATCTGGAGATACAGGCGATTCAATGAGATCTTAAGGCAGTGTTTCACTACTTTGACAAAAAGGTGAAACGTTCTAGGTTAGGTGATCATCAAGTCACATAAAATAATCTTTCTATACCAATGAACATTTGTAAAATTTCAGCTGGGTTATTGCACACAGGTTTCAGTGTAATGGCTCTGAAACAATGGAAAATAATTGAGGAAAAGTTACCTAAAGCCACAATAAATGGTAGAAGATTTTGCACTGTTTATTGCACAGAACACAGCAAATGGAATGTGAAAAGGGTTTTCCATTTCATTTGCTGCAAAGTGGACCTTTGTGGTCCCTGAGGTATCCATTACAGGACAAGGAATGGTGTCTTGCATTTCAAAGTATGGAAATCCCAGGGAAGAAGCTTTAATGAAAGGGTCAAGAGACACAGGAATTGATCATTGGGCAGGATGGGAGAGATGGAGAGTCTGGGACTTTTAAAACAGGTTCAAAAGATGCTTCTTGTGAAGGACACAGTTCAGATGCTCCTGTCCTGAGGACTGGCCCTTGTGGCTTATCCAGCCCCCTCCACAGGGATTTCTATAAATACATGCCGAAGGTGCATTCAGTCATCAAAAGCAACAGAGTCAGCATATACCTCAAACTCTGCCTGACTTCATCTGAAGCAATGTTCATGTGAAGGAGTCAGAGACTAATGTTAAAATGAGTATGGAATCAAGCTAAAAAAATACCCTGAAATACCCCATTAATCCCCATTAATCTTTGCCCCTCTGCCCCCGATACGGGTGGGAGAGCTGGAGCTGCCCCTCTGCCCCCGATATGGGTGGGAGGGCTGGATCTCGGGTCACTGGTTGCTGCCAGACTCTGCCACCATGCAGCTCCTTAGTTCTGCCCTCACTGCAGTATTTCCTACACAACACTGCAGGCACAGTCCCACTAAACCCCACTTCTGCCTAAGTCCCTTTTCTGTATGCACATATCTGTGCAGACTGTCCAGCACTAGGTGCAGGCAGCAGTGCCAAGGATGGCAGAGGACAAAGTGGCTGGCATTTGCTGATAATGAAGAATACAGGTGGCTTCTGTAGAAATATTATTATACAAGGTAAACTGCTCTTACAGTTTTTTTAGATGCCATAGCTAAAAACTCCAACAAACTCTAGAGCTGGCATCAATAATGCTTTTTATTTTAAAAGCACAGTTGATAATGTGGAATATACCTCTAATTAGAGAGTACAGGGGGGAAAAAAGTAAATTAAAAGACCTGCTCTTTTGGGATTTTTTTTTTTTTTTTTTTTTTTTTTTTTTTTTTTTTTTTTGGTCAATGATTGTACCCCGTTTAATCATTCCGGAGGTATGAATAAAGAAATAACATTTAAGTTGTTTGGAATTTATTTTTCACATGTATTTAAAAGAAGAATTAATTTCTACCTCCTTTAAATGAGATATAAGAATCTACCTCCTTTAAATGAGACACAAAGAATCTGGAAAAAAATGTAGCTTTCCCCAATAAAATAAATGATATGATAAGTATAATTGCCTACAGAGGAACATAAAATGTCCTTGAATCATTGTGAGTAGTAGCAAACAGAATTTATTCCTTGTGACCTGGTACTTTTGTCCAGAAGCAATAGCCATTGAAAGCATTCACAAGTTCTAAGTGATACAAAATCAGTACATGGGCATGTGGCAGGGCATCTACTTCAGGGAAGTTTTCCTTACAAAAAATAATTTCATTCATACAAAAATATCATCAACAGAGATGTCTCTTATTATCAGAGTCTTTGAGTCTAAACTTGTCCTTCCTGAAACTACTGTTGATTCTTGTGGAGACAAGATGTGTCTCTGTACTTTTAAATATCAAAACATGATATGAAAATTTTTTCCCTACTTACTCTTCATTTCTGTCTTCATACCATGCTAAGCACAGCCCTGGCTGAGTGTATCTGATGCATTTGATGTTAAGGATGCTGAATGGATAAGGAACGTAACTGACAAGTCCTTAAAAAAGATTTGTCACATGTATTTTAATCTAAAAAAGGCTCTATGAGAAATACAATTAATCTTCAATGTTAAGCTTACTAATATTTTCCCAGCAGCAAGTGGAAATAGGAAATTATATAAAACATAGATGATCACAGAACAAGAACATTGTTTGCTAATTAGCTTGACTGCATCTGACATGATTAACTTAAGAGAATCAGTGCAGTTTCTGTCAGTAGTTTGAGACTATCCCAGATCTTGTTTGGCTGTAATGGACTCCTTCAGACACAGGACAGACATGCTACATCTGAATGGATGAAGCTGGTTTCTCATCTGCATGTGGCACGTAAGTCCTTAGTTCAAGAGGTTCTCTTTCTTTTCTTAGAAAAAAGGAAAACTTTACCATGAAGCAAGTGGACTGAAAGACTGGCTTGACATGCAGCACCAAAAGAAGATAGCTGGGCTGTATTTCTTTGTAAAGTGTTCTGCCATCCTGCTTCTGCCATGCAGGACCCTCAACATCAGCAGTGTGTGCTGTACTACAAAGAAAGCAGGACAGCTCAAGTTACACAGAAAAGGGATTCAGCTAAAGAAGCTAAACTGACTTCTGCATCCTTCTTCATAGACTCTCACTGTGAATAGGCACTAGGAAGGAATAATTTTGGGCAGCTTGGGCCAGTTTTAAATTTTTGCTGTTTGCACAATGTGCCAGAGAGCAGTTGCGAGTTTTGTTTTTCCGCAGATACCTGACCAAGAGAGTATTTTAATCTGGCCGTCCTGCTAGTATCCTGTGTCCTTAAGGTTTATCTGTGCTCAAAAGAGATAGCTGCACTGCTGGAGCTAATGCTATCCCTCCTCCTTCCAGTGCAGAAACAGTTTATACAAGAGAAGGAACTCCTCTGCCAATACCACTCTGAGAATAAGTGCCACAGAAAAAAAAAAAACCAAAAAACAAAACCAACAAAAAAAACCAATACCCACCTTTTTTCTTGTTAAATGGGACCTGTTAGATTTAGTGTTTGGAGGGTTTTTGCATATTTATGTTGATAAACATAAAGCCCTGAGATATCTTTGCTCCTAGTAGGCATAGTTGTGCTTGCAAAGATTCAAAACGTAGACCTGACTTGGAAGAATAATTCACTGGCTAATTCAGCAGTAGAATTAGAAAGAAAATAAAAATTTAGTGCATCTTTGTCTTCTGCTTAACACTTGGAATTTTTCAGTGATAATTCTATATTATATTAACAAAAAAAAAATCTCAAATGGATTATTCCTATTCTATGCAGCCTGAAGGTTTTTTTTTTTTTTTTTTTTTTTTTTGGTGTTATTATTGAGTAAAGATGTGGATCACCAAAGATATATGTAAAGCTTCCTTGGCCCTCAGGATTGAAATAGCTTCTTTAACCTATCCTAGCCAGCATAATTATGTTAATTTTGTGCAGTATTAGAAACATTTTACATGACCTTTGAAAAGTCAGATAGGTCCAGATCCAGAGCACTAATTTCAGGGGAAGTCAGACACAGAGTAAGTTAAGGATGAGCCTCTGCTGTACTTTCACCAACACCGTGAGTGGACATAAAGCTCCTCTGGTGCAGGTTGTATCTGGCAGCTCA